GGTAACTCAACAAAATTTTCCTTCAGTACAACGGAGCCAGGACTTCATCTCAAACTTTCTCAGCAGACAAGCAATGTACACAAACAGAGCTCATGTCCACTTCCACCATTCATTTCACAGATCTGCACAGAGCTGGACCAAGCCTCAAAAGTGAGAACAATACAATTTCTTAAAATTACCACCATGACTTTAGGCATAGACATTTCAAAACAAACATACAGGGAGGCTAAATCTAGTATCAAGCCATCATGACATGATAAAACACAAAGCACACAGTGAAGTACAACGTACACTGTAATCAGTCAAACTATCTTAGTAGGTATAAATTAAACCCTGATCCTGCCACTAACCCCTACCAGGTACCCCAAACAAGTTTACTAGAGAAGCACTAAACCTCTCTCCGATATCCATACCTAAACCAAGTAGCACATGTGCAAAAGCCAGGCCCTAGCTTACACGTTACAATAGCACAGCCTTTCTGTATACTAGTAGTAACTCCTCCTCTGGCTGCCATTGCTTTGCCCAGAGAGACATCTGCTGCTACGACAGTGCTCACTAGAAAAGGACATCATCATTTGCATCTTGGGAAAAGTGAAGAAATCTCTTTTCTGAACAGAACGCCAGTATTCTTTTTATACACATATGCCCCATCTTTGAGAAACCAGCTTGCATGATCAACCCTTACCTGGGATTTTTAAAAGCCACAAAGAAGCTAACAAAAAAACCAACAAGCATTTATGTGCTAAATATGGCATCAAGAACATCAAGAATCACTTGACTACCATATTCAACTTTGAAAAGATTTGTCAAAAAGCCCTATTTGGCAAATTTAGAAAATCTTGATCTTTACAAACTCTTGACATAGGAATTGTTAAGAACTGGGTTTGCTGCAAGAAGCGTCTGTTGTGTTGCATGCAATTTAAGAACACAATCTTTGAAATAAGAGGAAAGATATAAGTTCCTATAATTTAATGGCAAGCCTAGAATCTTTTTCATAATTTTCCCGGCCTACTGCTCTAGTGGGAGACATTTCCTGGACTCACAACCCTTTTACGTGCAAGCAATCTACATTTTACAACTGATAAATAATTCAGATAATTAATTGAGCTGCAATTTGCTGCGCTTCTTTTTAGTCAGCACTATGGAGTACCATTTAAAAGAGGTTCTGTACAGAAAGTCCCTCTTGCTTGTTAACCCAAGCTGAGGATTCTATTAAGGTGAATTCCTCGATTCTCTGAACACTTTCCGAATGTCTCACATCAGTGTCCTGGGACTTCATGCCCTAGGATGCTCCCCTCTGACTTTTCTTGCTATGTTTTAGTTCTATACAAGAAACAGGATATTTCCTGGAATTCTGCTTCTGCAGCGCTGACTGCCATCATTCGAGAGATTAGACTCTAGCATATCTCTCTACGCTGCCCACATACAGGCTCCCAGAATAGACGCAATGCAAGAAGGAACAGAGGCAGTAGGTAAATACTTCAGGTAAGAAAGCTGGAGAAGCTCAAGCGAACTGTCAGAGAAATCACTGGATGCAAAGGAACGATGTGGGAGCACACAGCACGAAGTCTAAGGAGTATTTTCAAGCTGTAAGAGCTTTGATAGAGTTTAAAAGTCAGCAGAAACCTAAAATTCATACAATAAAGATTTAATCATATTTGTAACCTTCACATCAGTGCAACAGTCAGCAAAAGCTAAGCATCAGGTCTGTGTCTCTGGCACAAGTGCCCATATTCACGTCCAGAAGCACCACCTTCCCCTGCGCTGTGGTGTACATAGGCTGTACCAGCACAGAGTCCCACCGCAGCTTTACAAGGAGGAAGAGTGCACAGACTTGCAGTTTCAGGTGCTTAGCCAAACAAAAGTTTCAGCCTTTTCATCAAATGGTGCTGCAAAGTATTTATGAACTGGTAACACTGCCTGCTCAAACTAAAGCTTGAGGAACACCACACATACAAGAATAATTAAAGTGCTAAAGAATCTACAAATGACAAGTAACTTTCAGACAGGATTTAAGGCTAAATAAATTTGCTGCAAACGCACTTGTGAGTGTGTTGAGCATCAGAAAAATACAGGACTGAGAAAGGACAGCTGAGCCTACACTGCTGACGATAAACTGTGAACCAAGTTCATTAAGTATTTGGGAAGCTTCTGTCGGTTAAAAAGAGTAATGGTTATGCTAGAAAGTGCTGGCCGCAGGCTTCATGCAGAACAGAACAGCCCTTCCCAGTCCACAGAATTAAAGCCTACCAGTACATCTGTGTAAATACTGAGTAACATCAGAGGAATAGTAAAGTTCTGCAAAACAATAAACCAGAGCCCTTTCCTTACACCACTCTGCACACTGCCTTCCAGGATACAGTGGGAGCAACTTACGGAGGGCGAATTCTACAGTGTGAACGGATAGCTACATCTGGCTCAAAATAAACACAATCCTGAAGAAGCCTTATGAAACTAATTAGCAAGGAAGAATGAAAACAAATCCTAACAGTCATCAGAAGGCATAAGAAAAAGTAACAGAGGAAGCAGCTTTTGTAGCACATCTTTATCTAAAGTATCAAATAATTTTAAGCACCTGGTTAAGAGAGCTAAGTAGAAGACAATCAGCAGTGTATAATATGGAGGTCCTCTTAGGTAACCAAGAACAAATACGTAATAAAAACTACTCTGAAAGCACAAGATCCTGATGCTGATGACTGCATACCAGAACCTACAGATGGGTGCTGAGACTTGTCCACATGCCAGGCAAATTACTTTCAGGTAACAGACCACTGTCAACAGCAGCCAGACAGCTTGAGATTTGACTGCAAATATCCTCCAGCAGAGCAGAGGATGACATTCTGCAAAGCAACATAAAAATCCTTGCACCTCCTAACTGCAACAGAGACAAGACATTTAAAACTGACACTTTATTCATGCGCCTGCAAGACGCTCTAAAATGCAGCACCTTGCCACGCCTCCCGCTGCAAATCAGTTTTAGCTAATTTACTATGAACGTTTTCTGCATATGGCCTGCAAAAAAATTTAAGATTCAAAGCACACATGTATTAGGCCTCAGACATGAGTAGTTAGATTTAAATTAAAGCGATCACTGATTAAATCACCAGTGTTAATCATGATTCAAAACAGCAACTAGAGAACTTTGATTTAAATGATTGATTTTAATCCTGTTATTCATTTGTACTTTTTAGGTGTTTTCCTAAAGGAAGGGCTGAATCTCATTGGTTGATTTGGCCATTTAAATACATTGATCTGCAATTAACCACTATTTTTATGCTAAATTTGAAGCTTTTCCTAAACAGTAGCATTCCGTAGGCAATAAGCACGTATTACGCAGTCCTATCCATACCTCATATGCCACAAATCTCAGATCCAAAAAGTCAAGTGCTGCACTGCTTCTGGGCTTGAGAATCTACAGTAAGAATGGTCTTAAAGCAGAAAGGAAAAACACCAGAAATCAAAGAATTAACAGCAGTAGTAAGCCTAAAAGAGTTCTTCAAAACAGTCTAGACAGAATGGGTCAAAGAAGACATGTACCAAGTTTAACATCACCAATTAGAAATAGAACAACATCAGAAATTGGAACAAAGGAATAAAATGAGAAAAGACAGAACGGGAACAATGCCAGTGGTTCAGAGCTCTCACTCTATGATCATGCAATAGATCAAGTCTTCAGAGTGCACCAACTTTTAATGAAAAAGAGGGGAAAATCATCTGTGAAGGGTGAGAGAAGACAGCCAAATATGCTAGGAATTACCAGAAGGTGAAGAGGTGCAAAGGCACTAGAAGAAATCCCATCTCAAGAAACAGGTTGGATGCTCCGAGTAACCAGTTCTCACACAGAGAGTCACCCCTCTGTGCTCCCAGCCTGAGAGGATCGAAGGTAGCCCCAACAAGGAGGAGTACTGCCCGCAGTACTAGGAAACATCTCCTTGCCCCAGGGCACGCACATTGCCTGCTGGAAAGGCTGCAGGCCTTAGAGAATAGGGGGTTAAGTAAATCTGCCTAAAGACAGGAGACCACAGGACTCCTAACACTAGAATGAGACTAGACTAAGGGCCCACCCACCCAAAACAGACAGCACCAAATGCTTAAATAAAACATACTGTTAGGGAAATAGGGTAACTTCACACACCTCCCTTTCCCTTCTGAAGTTAAGTAGTTTAGGGCATACTACTTCTGCAAAAAAAAGAAGAGCTTACAACTCTTCTGACCCTCCTAATAGCCATCCGCCAGTAAGCAGAGAGAATACAAGATCAAAAGGATTAACCACTGATTCGGACTGTTATCTTCAATGCAACTCACAACATCAATTCCATAACCAGCTCTTAACTGAGTAATGAATACCACAGATCTCTTCATCTTGAAGATATTCTACAAGGGAAGGCAGCTATCATAAAGCAAAAATGAATGGGTCACATTAGAGACACCTGGGGAGAAGATCCACAGGAAAATTTACAAGATTGTCACACTGGTTAAGCATGTGAAACATGGCAAAGTCAGTCTACCACCAAGACAAGGTTAAGACAACTGACATACAGTGAAAGAAAAAGCTATACTCGCCTCTTTCGCATACTGACTTAAATGCCCCTTATCCCAACACCTCAAAATTGCACAGTGGTTCCGCATGCGTTCTTCCAATCAGACATAAAGAGTCTCAAAACACTGAGGGCGAGGTATCCCTGTGCAATTGAGGCTTGCAATGCCAACAAAGACAGATCCACAAAGGCAGTTAAGTACACACCTAGTTCCTCTTGACTTCAGCAAGAGTTTGGAACTTTAAAGTACTTCTGCTGATCTGGTACTCAATGCTGCTTCTGATAGTTAACTCAAGTATCTGTCATCATTGAAACCAGCATCTCTCCTCTGTACTTCCTCTAGCCAGTGAATTAAACACAGAGCAAGACTATTTCTGCAATGGCCTTAGAAGAGCTTTGAACCACAACACAGGAACAGCAGTTTCAAGGGCAGTGCAATTCACATGTCAGAAGTGTCCCTACCTGGATGTCAGTGTCCTTCACAGGTTCAAGAGGCTCAAATGTAGTGGCTGCACTTAGACTCTCTAGTCGCTGAGAAATGTGAGATATATCAAGCCCTCTAGACCCGAGAAGAACAGACCTGTAAGGAAGAAATTGTACAGGTATGAAATTAGTATTGAACAGGTAGAACTCCAAACTCCAATTCATTGCCAATACTTAGGTCAACAGCTAGCCACGTACAGACAGTGCTCCTGGATGCGTTACGAAAGCTGCACAAAAACCAAACTTTGAACAGCCCTATGTGTATATCTAAAAAAAAAATTCATGGAGCTATCAACTCAGTTCAAAATATTTATTATTGGTAAGAAAAAAAAGATGAAAAATTCTATAGCATGTTGGTAAATGTCTGCAGCAGCAGCCAGAACAAGGTACTGCACTTTTTGGCTTTCATGCCTGAAATCAGGAAATGGTAGCTCCTCTGATCAATCCTTCAATTACTGTGATTTTTTTTTTTTTTTTTTAAGTAGGAGAAGGGTTGACGGGGGACCCAAAAACAGCTTTGCAGTCATTCTGCTTCTCCCAGGCATGTCCTCCTGGCAACACTCCCCACACATCAGAAACCAAACCCGTAATCAGCTTTTACCCTCTGCGCAGAGTTTCCAGTGCCGGTGCTCCGTACTTACGCCTTCACATCTGCAGTCTCTTGGGAAGTGCGGGTCAGAGTGCGGGAACGCAGGCGCTCCCCAGCCTGCTGGATCTCCTGCAGGTTGCGTTCCACATGAGGGAGCTCAGAGATACCTTCTGTCTCAGCTGCAAGCTGTTCTGCCTGCTGGAGAAGCTCTCCAAAGCCTTCAGTATCCATCTCCGTTGCAGGTTTCACTCACGATGCACAGAAACCTTCAGAGAAAGACAAAAACTCTTGCTCAGCTACAGTTTCTATACCTATGGGGGCACAGAGAGACCAGCAAGAGCAGGTCTTCTAGAACAGGATACTCTTCTGCTCATCCTTCCCAAGCGCTAAACATCAAGCAAATACTTTCAAGTGGTCTCAGAGAGCTCTGCCTTGCAGGACCATGTTCTTAAGGGAGCTCTATGAACCTATCTGAAGTGGGATGCAGATGCCATATGACAGTTCATATATTGCCTTGACACAAAGGAGACTGAAAGCAGAGAAGTTCCTGTGAAGAATGTGGTGTTAATTTAGCTACAAACTACTTGTATACACATATATACCAGTAGTTTGGAGAGGTGGACTCTATCCTATGTGTCCCTTCCAACTCAGGATATTCTATGATTCTGTATTTTTACATATTATAAACAGAGACACATACATATGCATGCATAGGTATATAGGTATATATGAGAGCTGAAAACACACAACTTCTAGACATGGGGTTAAACTAACAGCAAAACAGACAAGCGTATATATGTACACAGGCAGCCATAACTAGCCATCTTTTAAAATGTGTTAATCCAGGCATCATTCACCCCAGAAGTCAAAAGAAATAAGTACATGTTGTTCCAATGTAGAAGACGTGTCTAACTTTGATGCACGGAGAATGTCTGTGAAAATTGCTTGCGTAGACCAGATGAGAGAATAGTCAAAGAAACTATACAGCATAAGGCAAGGGCTGTAACAGATGAGGTCATTAGTGCATCATGCAGCTCCAAATTCAGAATAGAGCCTGTTATTTTTACAGAAAGGACAAAAGTGTACATGCTTGGGATCAAGGTGGAAAAAAACCATGTAGCTGCAACGGTGTCCACATTAACGAAGTATGAAACCCAAACCCTCAGCTTCATGGATCAAATACATGATCTGCAGCCAAATCAGCTACACGCTATGAGTGCCTGGCACCTCTGTAAAGCCACAGGAGAAGATCACAGAAATCTAGTCTTGCTGAATGGTGCTACAGACAAGCGAATCCCCAGTACAATCTCTCTCGCAGCATTTGCACCGCAACCCAAAGAGCCTGGGATCAAATAAGACAAACCAGATTGCAAGCATCAACTCCAGCTCTTTAATTTACTCAAAAGTAAAATCAACAGAGACTATCTGGTTCAAGAGAGCCCACAAAGAAGAAAACAGGGCATTTTTACAAACTAAAAATAGCCTGCAATTCAAGTATTTCTTGGTACCGCTCAATACTACCAAAGCAGTACAATTTCAATGTTCCTCACATTCTCAGTCTCACCACTCTTCCCAAGTACAACTACCAGTGGCAGTAGCACTGCTTTCACCTGTCTGAACAAGTGATTTAAAAGAACTGCATGATGATTCATTCAGACATATGCAATTAGAAACTGATCCCTACTGCCTAGATGCCAGGACAAACCCTAACAGCCAGCATCCAGGAATGGTGAATTTCACAAGCACTCCCCACCCACTTCTGGAAAGCTGCGAGCTGCTGGGGGAGGCAGCGATCATATTTACACTGACTTGTTAATCAGGTGAGATAGCAGCGACCGGATTTGTTTGAACAGATGAGCACGTCACCGAGATGGAGTGGAACAGGGAGGGGTGGTGGTGGAAACAAGCAGTTTGCTGCCCTGCAATGCAGTACAGAACATCTTTCCAGTGTTTACTTGCAATAACTCAGGTGCACCCCTGCCAGAAGCAGCCTCTGTTGGCAGACACTGACCAGAACAGCCACCCTCCCGTACAGTGAAGCGCTGATCAGATCCTCCGGGAGCAGTGACTGCAAGAACAGCACAGATTTCAGCTTGATTTGATCCGATCCGGTCCACTTCCTCTTTTCATTACCAACGAGATAAAAAGCCGGGAGTGTAAGCAGGCACTAACTTCTCAGAGCACTGAAATCAAAAGCATGGAGAATCAGTGCACCATAAAACTGCTCCCAAACCTGCACTTTTTAGCTGTAGACTCCACATCAATACCATATGAGGTCTGTGCCATAAATTCGCCGATGTAGGACAACTGCAGCTCTGTGAGACTGAACTGAATTCAGCAAGTCTAGAATAAACTAGTTATTCTGGAGCAAGTTAAACTACCTGTCATTATAACCAAGCGCTGGAAATGATAGGTCAAAACTTATCTAGAGAGCTAACACTACACAGCTCTTTCTAAGCAACAGAATTCAAGTACTGAGACTGAGTAAGAGCACGAACAACTTTGTCTCCACCCTGACAGAATTTACTGCATTCAAGAGACTGCAGTCTGACTCTTAATGCTGCTGTGCAAGACGGAAACTGCTACCACAGTAACGAGCAGCACGATGGCAGATTTTCATGTCTGGCTGGGGAAGGAGCAACAACCGACACCTAAGGGAAAGAAAATACATCAGAAATTAAACTAACTTCTGTGAAACCAGATCGACCTTGGGCTAAATGCCAAGACTGAAAATGCTCTTCTGTAAAACAACTCTGATGACTTATCAATAGAAGCTGCTGCATTAGATTACTATCCATTAAACCCCAGTTTAATGTTTCCCCAACATTTAAAATCACAAATAAATGCTATATATTCTACAAGTTGACTGGATTTAAGCCAAAAAGAAGCTAGAAAAGATGATGACAGGTTTCTTAAGTCTATTCAGACTGATTGTAAATGATGACTTATTACCTAAAAAAAACCCTCTAAACTCCTCAAGAGTACTACAATACTACCTAATGAAGAACGCTGTAGCTATCATACTCCGAACACAGCCACGATGAACATTTTACTGTAGTAGCTTCAGAAAGACACAAAGCTGAAACACTCGAATGCGTGCGCAAGCGTCTGTTGTACTTCACATACTGACAGGCTTTGTGTCATCTAATTAATTAACTTTGAGAAACAGACAAAAAAATTTGATTTTTCTAGAGCCTTGAAAAAAAAAAGGAGGAAGACTTCACAGGGGACAAGGAAAGCCTCACCCACTATATTCAGAATAGCTGATGGACCAATATAGTTCCGTAAGTCGCAAAGAGATTCTTCAAAATGGAAAACAACGAGGAAGAAATCCAGCGCTGCCCTCTTGCAGAGGCTCCTCCCCAGAGCGCTCAAGAGACCCAGTCTGACAAGTTGGGATCAGCTTCTTTTGGAAGGAAGACCCAAGAGCACACTAGTAAGAGAAAGTGGGCAATTCTTCACTTGCTGCAGCTGAAATATGAGGCAAAAGTGCTTTTTCGACAGGCTCCAAGCCTGGGCTGCTACAGACAGCATAGCAGCTTCTGTCTACTAAGCTCAACACGAGTAAGTAAAAGACCCATTCTGCAGGCCTGGGAAATTCTGTCTGAACAGCAGCAATAGTACCTGGCTCTCGCATGGCACTTTGCGTAAGCAGACATTTCGGAGAGGAAGTCAGCAACATGATCCCCATGTTACAGACAGGAGAACTGATTAAGAAATGCAGAGATTGAAATCAAAGAGCAGGTGGCCAAATTTTTGTTTGTTTGTAAAGGAAAGCACAACGACATTTATAGGATATCTATTAGACGCCGATATAAGTTGCCTTCTAAGGATGCAGACACTCTGTCACTGGAGCTTTTTAAGAGCAGAACAGGCACAGAGCAGAAACAGCGTAGGCCAAATTCACCCCTCACCAGGAGCAGACACACATCATCGGGGTCAACTCTTGAGGTCTCTTCCTGCCCTATTTCCATGTTCCACAAGCCGAAGTGACCAAGTACAACCTAAGTACCTGCCGCACATTTTCAACAGATCACCTTCTAGTATGTAAAGCACAATAATGTATGTTTAATCAAACCTAGCAAAGGGAAAACTTCCATATCCTAGCTACACTAGAAACATATGAAATCAGGATAAGCCAGCTTAAAACCAAATACCTAAAAGCTCCAAGCTATACTTGGTTCCCCATCTGGTGCAAGAGCCCGTTTCCCCAGCAACAAAAGGCTGATGCAGAAAAAAGCCACACAATAGGTAACAAACCTTCAAACTTATTGTTTCTTCTACCACCCACCAACTACTCCTCCCCTGCCTCCCATCAGATTTTCAGTCCTGTACGTTTTGTTCTTCATCCCATCTGTAGACAGACATGCAAATGTCTCATCTTTTTATGATTGCTATTAAGCACTTGGTCTCAAAGAGCTCTTACAGTACTTATGTTCAATAAAAATATTTTCTAAAAGTTTTAAAGGCAATAACATTCACAGTTATCTGCTCTCGCACTCTGAGAAAGGACAAACAAGCGCACGCGACTATTCTCTATCCTGTTTATTATTTAACCTGGAACCGAACAGTGGGCATTTTAAGTGATTTCTTCCCATACATACTACCAGGCATTTGTCAAAACTGCCTTTTATCTGCCACCTGACTTTGAAGTTCCTCACAGAGCTCTCAAGAGCCACCATCCTGAGTAACTGACTCAGCTGTCAGTTCTGCCATCTCATCACTCTCCGTCTTTTCCAAATGCTTAGTACTTATTTTAAGCACCTGACACTCACCCAACTCAGCAGGGCACTAACCTCCACAGGGTAGCAAGCCAACCCCCATTAAATAGAGCATTTCGTTTGGCATTCGAAATTCCTTACACGAAAACCCATATCCTCCGCTCCCACTGAATTTCCTGTGATGCTGTCACCACACAAACATTATAGATTTGGATCACAGAATCACATACATTCTCCAAGCAATTTTTAAGCTTTTCCTATTTGCAAGAACACAGGAGCTGGCTTTTGTCACCCTCATCTTAGTTCTTCATGACACAACGGCTGTCCCATAAGACAACACTTCCAAGCTGCAGGAGGAGGGAAGCAGCCCTTGCTTGCGTTTGGAATTTAATTCAACCCCTTCCCCTCACTGTTAATATAGTCTGGTTTAGGATGATGTTGGGACACAGACAGCAGCCAGACTCCACAGCAGCTGCTAATTAAATACCAATAGCCAGCGCATCCACAGTT